AATGGCAATACCACTCAAAGTAATTTACAGATACACTGCTATTCCTACCAAACTTTCATTTTTCACAGAATTAGAAAAATTTATCCTAAAATTTATATAGAACCAAAAAGACCTCAAATCAAGCAAAACGAACAAAGCCAGAGGCATCACACTACCCAACTTGAAACTATACTACAAGACTACAGCAACCAAAACAGCATGGTACTGGTAGAAAAACACAAACACATAGGCCAGAGAAACAGAATATAGAACCCAGAAACAAAGCCACATACTTATACTCAACTAATATTCAACAGTCAATAACAACAAACAATGGGGAAAGGACTTCCTATCCAATAAATGGTGTTGGGATCACTGGCTATCTGTGTACAGAAGATTGAAATTAGACTCCTACCAGTCACCATATGCAAAAATTAACTCAAGATGGATTAAAGACTTAAATGTAAGACCTAAAACTCTAAAAACCCTAGAAGAAATCCTAAGAAATACCATCCTGAACATTAGCCTTAGCAAGGAATTTATGACTAAATTCCCCAAAGCAATTGCAACAAAAACAAAAATTGATGCATAGGACCTAATTAAGCAAAGGGCTTCTGCACAGCAAAGGAAACTATCAGCGGAGTAAATAGACAACCCACAGAATTGGGGAAAATATTTGTAAACTATGTATCCAACAATGGTCTAATATCCAGAATGTGTAAAGAACTTAAATCAGCAGAAAAAACACAGTCCCATTTAAAAATGGGCAAATAATATGAACAGACATGAATCCCACTACTGAGTGTATATGCAAGGGAAAAACATTCATTCTATGAAAAAGATGCATCCCCTTATATGTTCATCACAATGCTGTTCACAATAGCAAATACATGGAATCAACCATCAGTGGTGGACTGGATAAAGAATATGTGGTACATATACACCATGAAATACTACACAGCCATAAAACAGAATAAAACCATGTCCTTTGCTGCAACATGGATCAAGCTCAAAATTCAAAAACTGAGTGAACTAATGCAGGAATAGAAAACCAAAAACTACGTTCTCATTTATAAGTGAGAGCTAAACATTGAATACACATGGACATAAATACGGAAATAACAGACACTGGAGACTGTTTGAAGAGGAAGTGTGGTAGGGAGCTATGGTTTGGAAGGCTACCTATCAGGTACTATGGTCACTACCTTGGTGACAGGATCATTTATACACCAATCCTCAGCAACACAATTTTCTCATGTAACAAACCTGCACATTTACCCCTGAACCTAAATAAAAGTAGGAGGAAGAAAATGGTTGGAACTAGTGTTAGTATAGGATTAGGGAGAAAAAGTAAAATAGAAGGGTAGTCTAGAGAAGACAGTTTGTTAATTTAATTCATTCACCAAATATTTATTGGTGGCCAAGTGTGTGCCAGACATTGTTCTAGGCACGGAGTAGAGAACAAAAAAGAAAGTATCAGGGCCGGGCGCGGTGGCTCATGCCTGTAATCCCAGCACTTTGGGAGGCTAAGGAGGGCCAATCATGAGGTCAGGAGATCAAGACCATCCTGGCTAAAATGGTGAAACCCCGTCTCTACTAAAAATACAAAAAAATTTAGCGGGGCATGGTGGCAGGAGCCCGTAGTCCCAGTGCATGAACCCGGGAGGCAGAGCTTGCAGTGAATCAAGATCGCGCCACTGCACTCCAGCCTGGGTGATGGAGCGAGACTCCATGTCAAAACAAAAACAAAAACAGAAACAAACAAACCAAAAAAACTCCCTGTTTTTGTAGAGCTTATATTTTAGTGAGTAGTGTTTGAGATAGCCAATAAGCAAGATAATAAGATAAATCTATAAAATATGTTAGGTATTGGTAAGGTGAAAATAATGTCACAAAAGAAAATAGGGAGTATTGGTGGGGGGAGGTAGAGATGCAATTTAGACAGGATATCCAGAGAAGGTCTCACAGAGAGGATGATGCCTAAGTAAAGTCATAAATTGGGAAGGAAACATGCTCTGTGACTTGTGAAGCAAGCTCACTATGCACTGGTTACCAACTTGTGTGACAGAACATACTCATATGCAAGTTATGTGAAATGGGTTTATTACTTACAGATAGGCAGTAAAAAACATCAGAAGCCTAGGACTCATTGTGAGCTGCTCCCCCAAGGCTCAGAAAGCTGCCTAGGGTGGATGGAGTCTCAGCTGCATGTAACCCACTTGCATAGCAGACAAGGGACCCTGGAAAGCAGCCTGCACTGGGTGTTATATCCTGGGGTCACATGACTTCCTGTGCTAAATCTTTGAAGGACATTCTGTTCTGGTGAGACTGAAACAGAGCATAGGCTCTTCTAGCCAGTCTCTCTCTATCTCAGTAAATTACATTATCAGACCATCATACAGTTACTGTTGAGAACTACAAGCAAGAAAGGGAGGAAAACCTGGTCAGTCCAAGGCCATTTGGAGAACTGTCCTGCACAAATCTTGTGGGTAGAGCATTCCAGGTAGAAGACTCAGCAATTACAAGGGCTCAGAGGCAGGGGCATGCCTAGCATATTTGAAGATGTGGGAGAAGGTCAGTGTGTCTAGGGTGGAATAATTTATGGGAAGAATATTAAGAGATTGAGTCAAAGGAAAAGGGGGTGAAATACCACGAGGCAGGCTTCTGTATGTCTTTGAAGGCCATTGTAAGGACTTTGGCTTTTACTTTTAGTAATAAGAAAAAAGTCACTGGGAAGTTTGATCAGAGGATTGTTGTGATCTGACTTTTATTTAAGGGAATTATTATGGCTATTGTGCTAAAAACATGCTGGAGTGCAAGGAAGATGGGCAAAAGGAGAAAGGAGGAAATCAGTTAGAAGACTATTGCTATAATCTAGACAGGAGAGGATACATACTGAGTCTGGTAGAAGTAGATTAGTGCTAAGTAGTCTAATTCCAGATATATTTTGAAGATAAATAAGAGTTGTGAAGGTATGAAGGAAAAAGAGGAGTCAAAAGTGATTCAAAAGTGTTTGACTTGGCAACTAGAATAATGGAATTTCCAGCAGTGTGAAGTAAAATGTGGAAATATGAATCCAGTCTGTGTGGGGAATGAAATTGTAAGATTTGCCTAGAGCGTAGCCTGGGACCATTGTCTAGTCCTGAGATGGAAGCAGGATTTCCATCTTATATTATGTCAGAATGAACTATGCCAGTTTCTCTAGGGAGACTCTCTACTGGGGAAATTTAAGGTGTTAGTATTTGGGCCAGCAATCAAGATGGAGATAATAGGCCTCTACAATTTGGGAAGCCATAAAGCACCATACTATCTTTGGAGAGTTGTTGTTGTTGTTTGTTGTTGTTGGGGAAAAAAAAAAAAACTTTCTTAAAGGAAACATTTCTTCCAAAATGATAAGCTCTGGCTGTACCTCAGCATTTTCTTTCACTTTTTTTTTTTTTTTTTTTTTTTTTTGCTTTTTTTTTTTTTTTTGAGACTGACTGACTTTCCTCTTGTTGCCCAGGCTGGAGTGCAATGGTGCCATCTCGGCTCACTGAAACCTGCACCTCCCAGGTTCAAGCAATTCTCCTGCCTCAGCCTCCTGAGTAGCTGGGATTAAAGGCACCTGACACCACACACAGCTAATTTTGTGTTTTTAGTAGAGATGGGGTTTCACCATGTTGGCCAGGCTGTTCTTGAACTCCTGACCTAAAGTGATCCACTCGCCTCAGCCTCCCAAAGTATTGGGATTACAGGCGTGAGCCACTGCGCCTAGCCAAAATGCAGCAATCTTAACATGGCTTAATCATCTCTGCCTTCCTCTACTATTTCAGCTCTCTCCTTTCTCCTACCTTCTACTCTCTGTGGTGGTCATTGATTTCCTTAAGGTCTCCCAAACATAGCATGCTCTATCTTATCTATTATTCTTTAAAAATGCTTGGACCACTCTTTCTCCTCCTTCATCTGATTGATACTTAGCCTAAAGCTCAGCTTCAGAGAGCTTCCAGGTCTGATTCACTATTCAGTCCTGTTTCAGCCCTTATCAAAACACACTGTAATTGCCTGCTTAGATAGATGCTCATCTGCCCTCTAGACTTTAAGTAAATGACAGCAAGAATCACGTCTGTCTTGTTCAGCATGATGTCCCTCACTCAGAGCAAGTTCTAAGCAGTTAGAAATAACAGGCACTAAGTCCATATTTGTCAAATCAATCATCAATAACAAACTTTAGTTCCTGTAGTTCCTTAGTTCCCAAGAACCTTCTATTGGAACGGATATATCTCACTCCTTTGGGCCTCTATAGATTTTACCTCCACATGTTTTACACATTTATTATCTTCTACCTTTCACTGTATTTGCATAATTTATCTCCGTTATTGGACAAGTTTCTTATGTACAAGCTCCATGTTCAAATCTTCTTTTTTTCCCGAGATGATAAATTACACAGCTTTTTGCATATTCTGACTCTAATAAGTGTTTACTGAATTAATTAATGAATTAAAGGAGTTTAAATGTTATATTTTATAACTTTCAAATAGACCAGTTTATAGAGAGCATATGCTTTGAGATTAGAAGTACTGGGTGATAAATCTAAATAGGTAACTTTATATCGATGGTGGAATATCACCAGGTAAGAGAACATAATAGTTTAGAAACTGGAGGTTTGTCGAGGATTTCTGAACCAAAAAGGTATATTATCACAGCTGATACTAATGAAATGAATCTGTCCTTAAGATACATTTTGTGTTACAGAAATACAATTCTATCCTGCATTCATACTTAGAGTTTGGTTATGCAAGAAAGTGGATCTTGCTACTGTTGGTGATTCAGAACTTCTTTCAGAGTTTTGGAAGAAAAACCTGAATACAGAAGATATTAGACCCATTATGTTGGTACTGTTTCTCAGTATTACCCATGGTTCTAACTCTGATAAATTTGCTCCAGTGCATTCTCTGATTACAGGCAACCCATTATTCAGTACCCAGGAATATCGCGAGAGTAGATTTGTATCTCAAAGCTATGCTTAATTTGTTTCCCAACAGGTTCTCTGACTCTGAAAACACATCATGTTCAGGATTCCAAAATGGGATTTGTGATCAACGCCATCTATTCGATGGCCTATGGGCTCCACAACATGCAGATGTCCCTCTGCCCAGGCTATGCAGGACTCTGTGATGCAATGAAGCCAATTGATGGACGGAAACTTTTGGAGTCCCTGATGAAAACCAATTTTACTGGGGTTTCTGGAGATACGATCCTGTTCGACGAGAATGGAGACTCTCCAGGAAGGTATTGTTACGATTCTCCTCTAGACAGTAGAGACTGAACAACAGCCAACACTTGATCCTGAAATGTCTCTTTCTCTCCTTTGTGGTTAATCTAGGATTCCTGGTCATGTTTCCCCTTCCCTGACATCCCAAATGAGCAAAGATAGAGAAGAAGCCCCATTTCCTGTGGCCAGGAAAAAAGCATTGGTGCTGATGTCCAAAATGTGCTTTGGGAATTATCACATTTCAAACACCTAAACTAAGAGACAGGAACCTCACATGATCATAGATAAATAAAAATCATCTCTGTGGTTTCTCTGTACATGCTTGTCATGTTATTCTCTGTATTCGGCTATTTTCTTGTGCAATGGAACTATTCTGAAATAGGAACAATTTGATTTCTGGTAATCCAGAAATGGGGCTGAGGTTCTGTTCTGTTGTTTGCTGTACCTACAGCAAGTGAGTTATAAGTCATATTTTATTTTATTATTCTCCAGCTGGATCACTTTCTTCCTTGTTAAGGACTAAATTGTTTTTTTCTCTGAAATTTTACCATTCATTATTTATAGAGGAACTTGAAGAACATAAACTCATAATTCTAGGTCAGTACCCAGAGAAATCACTAAGTACCCAGAACTTACCAGAATTCACATTTATCTTCTACTGCAAATTCTTAAATGACTCGACACAGTCATTTAAGACTTGCAGACACTTTTAACCTATAAGGAATCATGCCATTGAAATGATATTTTGAGTTGTAGCAGGGTTGAGTCTTCACTCAGCCTTGTATCCAAACAATAGGGTCCTTTGGTCTCTCAGTGCTTTTCTAGCAATAGTTCATACTTAACAACTGTGCTTGGAAAGCTGTCTATACATTCTGTTTGTAGTTGACCCTGCCAAGAGGTTTCATAAATCCTCAATAACTCACACCACACGTGCCCACACATTCTGTCAGCAACCTTGGTTTAGCACACTTCTATATTCTATATTCTAAGATGAGCTGGAGCTTATCCCAAATGCAGCTGTTACTATTTCACATACCAGACTTATAAGTAATAGCTAGTTTCAGGTCATACAGCCAAGTGAAAAACCTAGGTTTCTTTTTTCTATTCTACAGACTTGAAGAATATTGCTATAACTAGGCTGTGTGCCAAAATAAGCTGACTTTTCACGTGTTGTTTTCTACTTTTTGGCTCTTCCGTATATCCATGAAGGAAAAAAATACAAGCATTTTCTCAGGGCCAAACAAAACTTCACAGTTGTAAATCTTTTACGGGCAGGTTGACCAATGAGTTCAGTCTTTAGGCTCAGGTCAAGGCATGGGCCCAGATATCTGCACATGAATTTATTATTCCCATGGGCATCTCTAGAGTACTGACATCAGCTTGGGACTTGTTGATAGAATTTGATGACTGTAGCTCCACCAATTCAAGAGTTTTTATGTCAGGTACCCAAACCCATTCCACAAACCAGGAAGGGAGGAGATGCCTCAGAAGGTCCAGCTCTATTCCAATGGGAAACCTTGATGGATCAGGCAGAACATGGCTGCCTTATTCATAATCCTTCAAATATGTTGTAAGGGGTTCTTAATCTTTATTGGAACAATCATGCCTTCAAGACTCAGACAAAATTTATAGATATTCTTCCAAGAACAACGTACTTAAAATTTTGCAAACAATTTCTGGGAATTCAGGATTCCTTTGAATCTATCCTTGCACTACTAGGTTTGAGTATAACATTAACCCATTAATAAATTATCAGAGTTGGCCTCTAAGGGCATGAAGCAGACTCAGGAAAAGGTGATTTACCACCTTTTGTTTCTCGAAATAATCCATTTACATAACTAGCATATATTGAGTGTGTGTTCTGAGCCAAACACTAAGCCAAGTGCTCTACTTTTTAATCCTATGAGGTCAGTAATGTTACCATTCTTTTTTCCAGCTACAAACAAAAACAAAAACAAAAACAAAACAAATCTTACAAAAGTTCAATGACTTGCCCAAAAATACAGTCTAGTAAATGATGGAGTCAAAATTTTAACTCAGTCTCCTGGGCTTCAACTTCTAACCTGATACAACAGCTTGCCAATTAATCAACCAGGATCAAAATTTTAAAAACACTATATTCTGAGAAAATTTATTTGTAGACATTAGTTTGTTATTTTTGTGGAGTAAAAGCATCCTGCCAGATCAAAGGTATTCCTGGCTGAGTGAGAAACCAAAGGATCCTGGGATGATTAAGGAATCCTCTAGAGTTAAAGAGTTAAAAGAGGAGGATCCTAAACAGAGGAAGCTGAAAGAGATAGCAACTCACTCTGGCACACACTTGCAGATTGTTAGATTTTTCCTGGTAAAAAACCTGTGTCATAGAAAGAAAGCGACATGCCCAAGGTTGTATAGTCAATTAAATAACAGGGCAAGGACATATGCAAATCTCATGCACAATCATCAAGTAAAAATTTACCTTCATTTTTTTTTCTTATATTACATTTGAAATGGTTCAATGCATTAATATGTAGTATAAAAGTGTTCCATTGTTAGGTGCCATTCATATTTTTGGTCTAACTAACTCTGTGATCTCTCTTTACTCTGTGATTATCCAACCCCAAAGGCACAGATCATTGTAATTGCTTTGTTGTATAGGCCAGGGCTTGGGAGTATCTATTATGCCAACCCACAGATAATTTAGCACGCATTTAAGAATTACTTTTTTTTTTTTTTTTTTTTTTAGGAAAAGCACTTTAGCATTGGAATTACAGATAGAAAGAGCCTTAGGATCCACATAAATGTAATACTCTGCAATCATCTCCAAATGATTTTTCACTTTTCTCTAACAACAACCCTGTTTAAGCCCCTTGAATAAACCCCTCATTATCATCTGAAGACAATCTTCTCTAATTTTCAGAGTTATAGCCATTTAGAAAGTTCCTTATTTCTGTTCAATTAAACCCTGACTTTCTCTAGTTTACCTTAAGTGCTTTAATAGAACTTTTTGTTGTTGTTACTGTAATATCTTTTGTTTATTTTGATTTTGAGCAATATATAAAATTTATTTTTAAAATTATTTAGAATATTCTAGGTTTACATTGTGGCCAGTTAAGGAAGAGCAGACATGAGGAGGTAAAGAGTAAGGGGAAGGAAGGGACAGATATTAAATCAGATAAATTACATATACAAACACACTATGCTGAGAAAAACTTTTCAGAAGCAGAGAAATATAGAAACCAAGAGGTGCAATGAGAAAGAAAGGCGGGGGAAGGGGAGGGGAGAGGAAAGCGGAGGGGGAGAGGGAGAAGGAAAGAAAGGAGGAGGGAGGAGGAGGAAGAAGGATGAAGAGGAGGGAGGAGGAGGAAGAGGAGGGAGGAGGAGGAGGATTGAGGAAGAAGAGGAGGGGAAGATAAATGGGAGGAAGGGGATGGGAAGGAGAAAAAAGAAACTGAGCTGGAGATTCACATTAAAGTGTCTTGTGATTGGAATGACACACTAATCTTTGCTTCTGACACTGAATATGTGCAAGTTGGATCTTTACTAAAGGCATCAAAAACAAAGAGCACACAGAATTACTGTGTTTGTTTGTTTGTTTGTTTGTTTTTGAGAGGGAGCCTCTCTCTGTTGCCAGGGCTGGGGTGCCCTGGCGAGATCTCGGCTCACTGCAAGCTCCGCCTCCCGGGTTTATGCCATTCTCCTGCCTCAGCCGCTGGGACTACAGGTGCCTGCCACCACGCCTGGCTCATTTTTTGTATTTTTAGTAGAGATGGGGTTCCAAGTGTTAACCAGGATGGTCTCGATCTCCTGACCTCGTAATTGGCCCGCCTTGGCCTCCGAAAGTGCTGGGATTACAGGTGTGAGCCAGTGCACCCGGCCTACTGTTATCTTTTTGGGAAACAAAATACAGTCTTCTAGATTGAATCATGGCTAAAGATTGCAGGAAGTCATTATGTTTTTTGATTCTTACCTTAAAGTTACATAAGAATATGTTTTAAACATTCACTTTATTTTCCTTTGATGGAGAATAAAAGCTATATTCTATCTCTGAAAATTAAAAGGGCTCATACCAATTCACAAGTGAAGGGGAGAATATTCTTTTGTGAAGACATATTCTCATCTATTTCTTTTTTTAATGTACTAAAAAAAGATTTTTAAAGCAATGTTCTATTTTCACAGCTTTAGCCGTGAGTGATAATATCTCTTTGTGTTTGCCTTGTATTAAGAAACAATGACCAGAAATCTAAAGGCTAATTCCAAAGGGAGAGTTCATTGTCTCTAATGTAACTATAACAAGTTTATCGAGTTGAACTGAAATTAAGGTTTAACTTCCCTGAAAACAAGTTCCCTGTCAAATGTGACATTTTCCACTCTATAGATTTTTCATGTTTATTTTTCAAAAACTGGATCCCTTTACTTTTTACCATTTGTTTTACATAAAACAAAGAGGCATGGATATAGAGATAAAAGCCTTACAATATAAATTGGTTCAAATTTTTACAATATTTAAGCAAGGAAAATATGGTCTCTTAGCTCTACCCAGGATTTGGAGCAGTCTAATAAGGAAGAAGGAACTGCAGATTTGAAATCTAAAGGCTTAGTTTAGGTCCTGGCTCTGACGCTTATGTACTCTGTAATCTGTACTAATTAACCTCACTGAGTTTCAGTCCTTTATCTGTAAAATTAACAGTGTGAACTAAACTTTTCGGACTTAAGAATTGCTAGAAATGGATTTGACAGCTCAGTTTTGAGCGAGGAATAACACCCACATATTTCTTCAAATTATCAGCAGCAAAGAAATAAGTCTGACACTGACATTTCTCTTTCTCCCATCCTAGAATCTTCAAAGGTTATTTGCTCATAGAAAGTCACCCTTTGAATACTCAAAGCTCATATATTTGAAGTAGCCAATGACATAATACAAGAGTTCTTTTTACCTCAGTGCTCTGTGTTCTAATATCTCAACTCATTGCATGAACTGAGGCCATGGGATAATTGTGACCAAGAGGGAAGGAAAGTATCCTATAAATTGGTAGTTTTGATTTAGAAGTAGAATTTAGACCAAATTGTTGCTGACTGACAACACTAAAGGAAAATCCTCAGGTTACTGAACAACCAACAAAACAAGAATGAGGTAATATTCTGAAGCAAAAAAACCTACAGTAAAAATTGTGATTTGGAGTGAAAACAGAATGGCATCATTTTATAACATAAGTTTCAATAGATGCCAGTTTTGTTCTGAGAATTTCTGTACAGAACATTGGTTTGAGTATAGTAATCTCATCACTTGAATCCAAAAGCTAGAACATTTTCCATTCATATCAGTTTCCAGATAGCTACACATGCTGAGATAGGAGGCTGGAGGAGGCATTTATATGTCTATCTGTCAGTACTGTAAGTCCTGAGGGGGTAAACAGTATAAAATACTATGTGAGCACAGTGTGTGCCTGAGACATACGTGTAGAAACTGAGATAGTGGTAATATTGCTTATCCAATATCCTCAAATTGGAAAATTGTTTCAGAGATTCTTCTCTAGAAATGAGCTTACTTATAAGAAAAGGCTTGTAAGTAAGCACATTGATTTTCTCTTTTTACATTTATATCCACATACTCAAAAAACAATAGTTAGCAAAGGCTGAGAACTCACAAGGAACTACTCTTTTCCAGCATTTTTACATTGCATGAGGTGTTTTAGAAGCTATTTTCAAACTTTTTGAAACTTCACTCTCAAAATTATCTTTGTACAATGAATTTAGCCATTGATAATGGACAAAGTAAGAAAGGTAAAATGAGGCCCTCTGTAAATTACCTCTATATCTCCTAAAGCTGAAAATAAGATGAAAGATTTACCAAATTTCTCACTTGGTTAGTAAACGGAAGTTTTATCATTTTACTTGAATACAGACAAAAATCTGTCTATCTTTTGTAGAAGTCTAACAGCAGTACTTGTCTAAACTTCTTGAAGTTATTTTGAAACTGTCTTTCATCCTGCTGAGGTCAAGTCACCTTCTCACATGGGATTACTTTCTATTTCAGGTGTAAGCTTGAAAGTACGGAAATGGTCTCTGCAAAGAAAGTGAAATGGACAGATTATTTTTGTTATTCTAAGTGTACTGTCATGGAAAATTCCAGTGTTACTTATATGACAGTAGACACATTTTTGGGAATAAAATGTATTGCCTTTTCAAAGCTGAATATTTACGTCTTAAGCTGCATAATTATCATATTCTTATTCCTAAGGTATGAAATAATGAATTTCAAGGAAATGGGAAAAGATTATTTTGATTATATCAACGTTGGAAGTTGGGACAATGGAGAATTAAAAATGGATGATGATGAAGTATGGTCCAAGAAAAGCAACATCATCAGATCTGTGTGCAGTGAACCATGTGAGAAAGGCCAGATCAAGGTAAAATGGAATTAATGTTTCTTTCATTTTTGTTGTAAATTCAACAGTGTTAATTATCATTGGCTATTTTTTCAACTTTTAGACACTTATTTTACTTTTTATATTGTAAGCTTCTAATGTGAGAAATTCTCACTCATTCCTTGTGAAATCCCATGTGCAACTCACAATAGTCTTAGTAGTTGGTTTGATTGAACCAGTTGATGAATCATGTTTGCCCACACCTTTTCTGCTCATACAAACCTTTCAAGACATGACTTCCTGGAAATAAAGTTTACAGTTAGAAAAGACACTAATTCAAATTTATTTAATAAATATTCATCAAATGTTTATTAATATAATAGTTAATATTGATGAGGCAAAAATAAATGAGACACCCTTAATTGTCAGAAGATTTACAGTCTGTGTGAGAAAAATATGGACACAGATAAGCAATATTATGTAAAATGTGATGACTTCATTAAGAAAGAAAAGAAGAGGGCTATATCAGTTTGTACAAAAGGGACAGAGATATTTCTTCTGAATAAGATGTCAAACTTTGGACCATAAAAATGAGTATGATTTCAGGGAGAGAACACTTACATAGAAAGAACAGTAAAAGAAAAGGGACAAAAGTGGTAATTGAAGACTGTCTAGCACAAATAAATAATCTAGAGTGCATTGCTCTAAATGGTTATTATAAAAGAGAAAGTTGAAATAAGTTGAACCCAGATTTGTGGAGAGTTTTGAACATCATACTAAATACATTGAACTTAATTTTTATTAAACAGGAGTCAGAGAATAATTTTGATCAAGATGTTGGCATAAGTTGAGCAGTGGTAAGGAAAATGAATAAATAGATTTATAAAACAAGAAAGAAGAGACAAGTTAGAAGCATGCTGTGATAGTGGTAACAAGGCCTTGAATTGGGGAAGAAACAGTGAGAATGAAAAGGGGCCAGAAGATATATTTGGAGAAAACATTACAGATGTAGATTCAATCAGGCTGACTACCAATTTGATGTTGAGTTGTGGAAGATAAAGAAGTCAACACAATCAACTGCAATTCTAAGTGTCAGTAAATAAAAAGTGGCATTGCCAGGAATAGAAAAATAGGGGTGGCTTTAGAGAAAAGGTGATTGGTTAGTTTGGGGGCATGTTGGTTTTGATATAGCCATCCAGTGATTAAAAGTTTGGTCTAGAGCAATGAAAAATAAGGCTAAGCATACAGATTTAGGAATTGATTGAATAGAGTTAAAGTTGAAGCTATTACAATAGATAAAATTGCAGAACCTAAAAGCGTAAATAAAAAATAAATATGGACCAAGAATATACCTTAGAGAATTTCTGCTTTCAAAGTGTAAAAAAGGAGGAAGAGGTAGAGGCTGAGAAGCAACAGGTACAAAGAGAGAGATGACCAGAGAGCACACTGTCACGTAAGATGGTAGTCAGCAGAAGAAAAAGGTCAAAGAAGAGGAACAATGAGGAAAAGACATGAAAATTGAGGGTTCACCCTTCATCTGGGCCTGCTAGATTGAACAGAATGTAATGATAATTGAGTATCAAGATAAATGGATAAAGAAAATACAGTATATCTACATAATAGAATACTATTCAATCATAAAAAAGAATGAAATCCTGTCATTCACAGCAATGTAGAAGGAACTGGAGAACAGAATGTTAAGTGAAATAAGCCAGAGACAGAAAATTAAACGTCATGTGTTCTCACTTATATGTGCAAGATAAAAAAAAAAGTTGATCTCACAAAAGTAAAAATTAGAACAGAGCGTACTAGAGGGTAGGAAAGGAAGGAGGAAGAGAGGGATAGGGAGAGCTTTGTCTAAAGAAGCAAAACCACAGCTAGATAGGAGGAATAAATTCTAGTGTTCTTTAGCACTGTAGGATGAATATAATTAAAAGTATTCTATAGTTTCAAATAGCTAGGAGGAGGATACTGAACATTCCTAACATGAAGAAATAATAAATATCTGAGATGATGACTATGCTAATTACCCTGATCTGGTCACTATACATTATGTGTATCAAAATATCACTATGTAACCCATAAATATGTACAATTATTATGTGTCAATTGAAAAAATAAAAAGTATAAGAAAAAGAAATATGTGACAAAAAGCATGTAAGGGATAATTTGGTAATTTAAGGACATTAAAAAATTACTCTTAGGCTAAAAAAGATGTGGCCACACTTACAGGAAATAAAAATTCATGAAGAGAAGACAAAGATATAATAAAAAGGGGGTGACAGCAGCTACTGTGTGCAATGCTGTAGGGAAAAATGATATCAAAATAATTTATTTGCTCATCAAACAGTTCTTAAAGTACTACCATACCACATTTCAGGTAGTGTATTCCTAGAGCCACTGGACTTGGTCTTTTCAATCAACCTTATCTTCACTCTGTTTAGAAGACATTTCATATGTTTTTTCATCTGTCATTAAGACTGAAACTGAAATATTTTAATATTGATAGTAAGGCCCTCAAAGGGTAGGTCTGAAGATTTGGAAAGCATGAGACCAGAAATAAGAAAGATAAGGTAAAAGAAGATAAAAATAAATGTATTAATATATGCTAAATGGCTCAAAATATTAGATATCTGACATTTTCTGTATGTCTTGTTATGGTATACAGCAAGAGCTGGTAAACTATAGCCCACAGACTAAATCATATTTTTAATACTGGTTATTTTGTAACAATATTTGCTTCGACCTTTTTTAAAAATCCTAAACTCCATTTTCCTAACCAGATGTCATTTTTACTCTATTAAAATATACAATGCATAAGATTTTCTTAATATGGTTTAAGGTTGTAACTGAGGAATTTAATTCATGATATCAACATCTCATGGCATTGTTCAGAGTTTGTAAACTTAGTTTCCATGAAAGGGTTTAGTCTAGTAAATGTTCAGAGATGTTATACATTGTTATTCATAAAGAAAGCACTGCTGACTGGGTGCAGTGGCTCATGAGTATAATCTCAACAATTTGGGAGACTGAGATGGGAGAATCCCTTGAGCTCAGGAGTTCAAGATCAGCCTAGGAAACTTAGTGAGACCCTATCTCTTTAAAAAAATAGGAAACAAAAATAATTGAGCATGGTGGCACACATCTGTAGTCCCAGCTACTCAGGAAGCTGAGGTGGGAGGCTCTCTTGGGCAGGGGAGGTCAAGGCTGCAGTGAGCCAAGATGGCGCCACTGCACTCCCAGCCTAGGTAACAATGCAAGACTGCCTCAAAAAATAAAATAAATAAAAAAGAAAACACCACTGCTTCCAGGATCTTGAAAGAGAATTGTCACTACCTCGTGTTCAAAATAAATGTGAAACATAACATAAAATGTGAAAACAGAACATAAAATGTGAAAACATAAAACAAGTTCTAAATGATCAGAGGAAAACATATTAAGTTATCACTATTGATTCAAAAAGAGATTATAATATTGGAATTCTTCTTGGAAAAAGGCATGAACTTATTTTAATTTCAGGTGTTTACCTGAAATTCACAAACCAATGAAAACTGAACCATAAGAAATCAAAGTATTTCAGTGGGGGGAAATGCAGCTGCTTTTAATTGCTAATCCCTGCTAAGGTCTGCTAAGGTCTGAAAGACACTCCTTCAGCTTTGCAATATGCCTGTTTGCATTACAAAATCTAATAATTGTTCAAGGATAGTTTTGCCAAGTGTGGTATACCTTGAAAATGAAATTCTTCATTTCTATATATGGACATTATGTGCAAATTATTAATGAAATGGGTAACATTATTAGAGTGTTCTACACTTTACAAATCACTGTGTTGTTTTATTTAATCCTAAGGAAATCCTATAAGGTAGATATTATTATCGTAAAAGCAATAGGTCCAGTTAAAAGAAACTGAGCATTGGCTGGAGGACTGCTCAAGGATGCACAACTACTTAGTGGCTATAAATAAGACTAGAACCCTGGTGCTACTTGATTCCCAAGCCAGTACTCTTTCCCCTGCATCTTTCAAAATATCACGCAGTCTAATCTTCCAATAAGACTCAGTATTTATAAGCATGAGCATTTGAAGTTCAACATACATTGTTTGATCCCTCATTTACCCTAACATGCTATGTGAGCTAACTCAACTCCAGTTTTCTCCCCTAAGAAAATGAAAAAATAAACCAGCCACTTCATACAGAGCTGTTCTAATGCTTTAATGGGATAACAGTATGGGACAAGTACTAAAGAGCCTGGAAATAGTCGATATTATTATGAAGAATACTTTAATCAGGTCTAAGGAGCAATTTTGCCTCACTTATTTACTTACTTTAGGGAAAAGCTATTTTAGGCCCTTTTGCCATTATTCCCTGCTTGTATTGTTGTAGTTTTAAGAGTCACTAGAAGAAATACTACAAAAATGTAAAAAACAGTTGTCAGCTTACAATTATATTTGGTATCTAGCTGATGTTATTATCAAAGGTCATTACTAGAGTCAGCATCTCAGACTAGAAATATAAAGTGTAATTATTACTGTGTCTGGTCATTGCTGAATATTAACCACGGTTTTAATTATTTAAAAGAACATTTAATGAATGCTGTCTATTCCAGAGAGGTTTTTCATGCACCAATGGTGGGGAAGAAAAGATACATCTATTTCAAAAGAATAACGTCTTTGACTCTTTCAACTGTTAAATTATTTCAATTATTTTCCATTACCTTAAAAAAGTCAAATAGATTAAGAGGTATATAATAGTCTGAATGACCTCATCTACCTTCAAACAAAACAAAGCTACCAAAATAGGAAAGAATGGGCTGAATTGTTGAATCAGACTTTTAGTAGAAAGAGATCAAGAGATCATCTCCAGGAAAATCTTAATCTTGTGCTTTCTTCTACCCAATACAAATTCCTAATTATATTTATCAATATGGATAGATTTTAGAAGATTAGGAAATATACAATGTTTTTTGCTCACAATTATTCAACTAATGGGGGGAAGGAAGCTAAGGTAAATCCAGAGAGCAGAAGTTCTTAACTTGAGGAAAGCAGAAGTAGAGCAGATCCTGGGGTGAATTCAGTTATGTATATGTATATATGAGCACAAGCACAGGTACTTAATTAAATACACGTTTCCAAGGCTAATTATCCAAAGACTTGCATTTAATTTAAGGCCTTATCCTGCCACCAGCTAACTTTATGATGTTGGACTTGTTTAAACTCAGCCTTACTTTCTTTAATTATAAATTAAGAATATTAAAAATTATACTGCTTATCTGATAACATTTAAAATGATGTATGCGAAAGGCCTTTCTGCTTTGCAAAACAGCACATTGGAATATAGAATTGTTGGATTTTTATCTATGCAAAAAAATATCTAAATTTCAAATATTTGCCTTAGGTGATCCGAAAGGGAGAAGTCAGCTGTTGTTGGACCTGTACACCTTGTAAGGAGAATGAGTATGTCTTTGATGAGTATACATGCAAGGCATGCCAGCTGGGGTCTTGGCCCACTGATGATCTCACAGGTAATCTGTCACAATCTCAGCACATATAAATAAACTGCAAAAAGACGCAGACGTGGGTGAGGGGGGTCACATCCCCAAGTATTACTCATCTTGGGTAGTCTTATTTATGGAACAAATAATTTCCTTGGGAACACAAGCTTCCCAAAGTTTGAGCTATGTTTTAAAATCCTGAAATCTCTGGGAGAGATGTGCCTATATGTCCGTGTTCACTCCAAAATTAGATCAGAATTCCTAGCTTGTCTACTGGTCTTTCTTCCCTCATCCCCAGGACATTCCCAGAAGTTCCTAAATAGGGTCCCAGTTATATGTGTATTTCAGGTGAAGAGAAAGAAGTTTTAGCCAGGAAGTGATGAAAATATGTCATGACATATCCAAGAACAAAAAGGTAGCACTGAATTGGGCAGAATGTCATCTAAAGTTCTTTTCTTCTCTTGTTTTTATTAATTGAAATCAGGAGTCTCCAACTAATAAGTTTTCAAGTATTGTTGGCACAGGGCAAGACTTGATTTTACTTGTTTATTGTTTTACTTTTTTGTTTTGTTTTGGCTTTTGGTTCCTTCTGCCAACAGATGTTAAAGACTATGTCATCGTGTACTCCAGTCTATATTTCATAGTCTTTTCTAATTTTTATAATATATAAACAGAATATGATTCCTTTCATACTGTCTTCCAATTTTTCTTCAATAAACATTTATTAAATGCACTCATGCTTATTTGCCTACCACTAAAATAAAAATATAGAAAAATACTACCTCTGTCTTAACGAAGTTCACAGATTAATAAAGGGGCAAAAAATTAAAAATATGATTACAATATAATAAGAGGACATAGATTTATAGACATGGGAGAATGAGGAGGGCACCCATAAACTGAGTATGCAAGAAAAAGAGCAAAAAAGCCTTGCAGGCACAGAGCCCCCCATGTGGTATGTCAGGTTGTCTAGTGGTTTTAGAATTCAGATGGGTTTAGCACAAAACTTCTAGAGGCTAGAAGATCATAAGATCATCAGTGTTAGACTCCATCCCTCCCAGGACAAATGATTTTATTCATAGTAGTTGTATTCAGTTATTTCAAAAGTCTGGTTAATAAAAATTCCATCATCCTGGGTCTTTCAAGACAGCTCACCATTTTTTGGTGATTGGTATGTATACAGAAGACTTTTTCTTTTCTCAAAAAACAAAAAATCCGATTTAATAAAACATCCAAGTGCCTTTTGATCACATTTGAATCTTCTTTTTGCCATTACACTATGAGCTTTCTGATATTCTTATTCATCCTGTTTTCCCCAGAGCTGACTCAGTGCTAAACACAAAGCCTTCAATAAATTTTGTTGAATAGACGATCTATCGTGTGCCTGTGTGCAAACACACAGTAAAAATGCCAAAAAGAAAAAAAAAAAAAATTCTGTGATTGGTTTTCTTGAAGAAGGGTGAGGAGCAGTATTCCTATCTTTTCCTTATACTATTTATTTACATGTTTTTCTACTTTTAAACTAGATTATGGTGAAAATGAAAAACTGTCTTGCAACGTCAACTAATTTGCATGGCTAAGCACCTTTTAAATGAATATGTAGATGTAACTTTTTGTCTCATGTTCTGTAAGACTATGATATTGAGAACACAGTCTGTTCTTTCATTATTTCAGCAGATATTTTATTATTACTATTTTCATTATAATATTAGATACTTGAGAAATTGAGGTGAAAAAACAGCAATGCTTCCTGTGTCACTTGTTCCCTATATTCTAGTCCTTAAACATCTTACCATCTTGTGGGGAAAGAGACATAAAACAACACATGCACATGGCTAGTCAGCTCTTTGTTTGCTAATGGTCTATTTGTGTGCCTCACTGGCAAATTGTATATGAAGTCAAAGAACAGGAGTAAAAACATGGAAATATCAGAGAGGTCATAATTTAAATTTGTGGTCATATAATTTCTCTCTGAAGAAATAAAAATTAACTGAGACCTAAATGATAAATATAAATATTTAGCAAATAATAACTAAGAAGAGATTAAGTCTGGGGTAACAGCACATGTGAATGTCTGTATATCGGTAAACAGGTAGGAGAACAGTGTCAGAAGAGGTCAAAAAAGTAGCAGGGGCAAGAACCTATGCAGCCTAGGAGAACATGTTCAGGGTTTGAGTGTTTTATTATTAAGACAATGAGACATCACTGCAGGAATTTTAGTATAAGAAAAAATACATTATTATAAATATATTTTTAAAATATTATTCTGGTTACTGTTACCAAGAATAATTTGGGGAGGGATAGAAAGTGGAAACAGGAAGACAAGTTGGGTAGTTGCAGACAAGAATTCTTAATGTCTAAATAGTGCATTGGAAGATTTGAGATATGCTTTTGGGTAAAATCAACGAGACATACAGATTAATTGGATGCTGAAGGTGTTAAGGAAGTTGCCAAATTTTCTTTTTTGAAGGCTAAAAAAATAGATTATTTCATAAAGATCAAAACTTTAGTTGTAGAAAATATCAGACATGTCTTTGAGATTTTCAAGTGCTAGTTGATTAATTTAACAAATTTAGGCCTTAGCTTGTGCCAGAAAATGTAATTTGGATTGAGAATACAAAGATGTAGTCTAAGTTCCTAAGAAATGTATAATCTTGCAAAAGAAAAGCATGTAACCAGGTAATAACAGTGTTCTTGGTGCTATAGGTGAGGAGTAAACAAAGTATTTTGGAAGGGTGGGGGTGCCAAACTAACCCTGGAGAATCTGGGAAAGTTTAATCTTGAAACATGCGTTGAAGCTCACTTTACAAAAAAAAAAAAAAAAAAAAAAAAGTGAAGAAGATATACTGTGTGTTATCTCAAAAATGTCCTTCTACAGTGTGAAGACAAATCCAAATCCTTGCATTGTTAATTCCATCTCATCCCTCTTTCCAATCAACTTTCTTGAGTAATAAATCTTTCTTTTATCTTCCTCACTCTTGATTTATCAAAGCAATTTGCCTCCTACCCTTACCATGCTATCATAAATATTTCAGCTGAAGATGTCTGCAGTCACCACATGGCCAAACTAATAGTCCCTTGTCAGTCCTTATTTTATAAACATTTCTGTTCAATTTAATGGGCTTGATGCTGCACAGTCTCCTGAAGTTTTCTCCTCTGCCAGCCATATGATAACAGAAGTTTCTCTTACCTACCTAAACACCACTTCTGGGTGTTTTTGTTTTTGCTGTTGTTGCTGTTGCCTCTTCCACTTAATCTAGATAATAAAATATTGAAGTTTCCCAGGATTTCATCACTAGCTCATTGTGCTTTTCCCCCTACACAGTCTCTCCAAATAATGTCATCTACTTTGATGGTTTTAATTATTACCTGCATGCTGTCAATTCCCAGTAGAACAGCTCACACTGTGTATTTTCCTGAGTTTCAGGATCATGAATCTAAGTGCTCACTGGATTAGTCCTCACTAACCACGTTATTTCAGTTCAGTGTATCCAAACCTTATCATTTCACCATTGTGCACCTTTACTAATTAACTGTAAACTTGCTTTTCTATTCCCTGGGTGGATATGGCCACCCATATCCAGTCACTTATCTACCCTAATGGTTTGAATTACTAAATATTCCTAACCACCTTTCCTCCTCTCCTAGTACAACTCTTCACTCAACTAGGTTCTCATCATCTCATATTTAAATATTGCAGTAACTTTCCAATTTATTTCCTTGTCCCTAGATTTATGCCACATGCCTCTTAATCCACTTTTGGTCTTGCTATTTTTTTTCAGGGAGAATTCTGATCTTTTTTTAATGGCAGGAATTGCACAGTTTATTATTTTGAGACAATTGTTGCAGACATATTTAAAATTTTCTAAGCAAGGTGCTTTTAACAACAAAAATTTTTAAAGTTGGAAAGAGCCAATAACTTGGATCACAGCTGACACAGAATTCCCAATTAAAGTGGATTCCATTATCTCCCTAGATTTTGCAAACAATGCTTTGTCTAACACTTCTTTAAAACAACAAAAGAGAGCAAGCTGAAATTTTTTCCAAGCACACAGGAAATGGTGACATCACACTACTTGAAGAAGGTGCTGAAGGGAGAAGATGATCTTGCTATTGAATATTGTATCCAAAATACAGATCTGCCTTTTTTTTTTTTCCTCGCTGGTGTAGGAGAAAGTAATTATCTTTTCTTCCCAGCCTAGGTTTATGGATGAAGTCCTTGGAACAAGACACAAACTAACAAGAGAAAAGCACATACATTTATTTAATATAAGTTTTACATAGGGAAAGGAAAACAAACAGGAAAACTTGTGTATTTTTATGCTAGGTTTGATAGAGAAGTGGTAAGTCATTGCGGAGTATGATTGGATTATAAAAGCATGATCTAATGATAGTTAGCTGGGGAGAACTCAGCTATTCCTGTTTGTTCAGATTGCTGTCAGTGACCTTGCATTTTTAGAGATATACAGATGTTCACTTCCTCTGGGTACAGAGAGAGCACCTGTCAAATGAGAGTTTTATGACCTGCTTCAGGAGAGAACGTTGCGGGGAAGGTGAGAGTTACCTTCCTGCTTCTGCTGTTTTCTCAAATGCCAAGGTGCCATACTTTGGGGTAGTATGTCCTGAATCCCATCACTCAAAACTTACCACTGGTTTTATAACTCTATATGGTATATTCCAAGCTTTCAACATGACATACAAAATGTCCTCTCTTTCCCAGCCTCCTATGATCTTTCTAGTTTCAATCACCACTGCTTTCCATCTTTCATTTTATATTCTGTTGTCAAAGACTGCTCATAATTCTCATCCACAGAGAATGCTATTTTATTCCTCCCTATCTGTATATATATATTGTCTTCTCTACCTGGAATATGCTTACCCCTCTTTCTTTACTCGAGTAACTCCCACTTACCCTCCCTTACTCTGCTCAGGTGTTATTTTCTCTATGAAGCCTTCTTTGATATACGTAGACTGCTAAGTTTCCTAACAAATTCTGCTTCCCCCTTTAAATCACTTTGCAACCTAGATTT